ATTTCCACATATAAACACGAAAGTAAAAAAGGGAAAAAGGCATATACGGGTATACGGTATATCATTTGGAAAAAGGCAAGACAAGAAAACAAAACTGAATGTAAAACTTTTCCAGTTTTTGCGCTACTAAAATCTTAACAACTCTCGTTTCTTATGCGTTTTATTGATTTTCGACACTGCTGAGTGACTTTTTAATTGCATTCTCCGCGATTGCGTGAAATATTCAACAGTGAGGAACTTTCCTCATTAATCAACTCTGCTTCTGCTGCTGGTTCTGGAGTGCTGCTGCAGAAATGCGGAAATATTTGTCAAGCGGGTCCGTGGGATGCTGACTAATGGCCCCCCCCTCCCCACAGCAACAGTTCTTTGTTCTGCTGGCTATTGCGTTGTGCCTCTGCTCCCACACACTCTCCTGCTCGCTTGGCTCTCACGCCAGCTGCTGCCACGAGCTGGTCATCCCCACACCAACAAACTTCTCACACTCACCCTGACGCACCTTCATCTCTTGAATACCCTTTGCTGAGGGTATGATGATTCTGGCTTGCATCTTCGCACATGTAACTTTCATAAGAACAATTTCTCTTAAAGTGTATCAATAGTTTCGACTACCCTTCCCTTCCATTTAATTTCTCCCTCCTTATGCACTTGTTGAGAGGAGGGAGGTGTAGCTCTGCCCCTTCCTGGCATTGTTCTACTTGCGCTCCTCTTCGTTTTCGTCGTGTTGTCCGAGTGAGTGAGGGTCAGCCATCGCTTGTTGCAGCTCTCTGTTAATTTATTTATAAACAATTGCGCCTGCCAGGCCGCCGTCACTCGGACTCTCGGATGCATGCAAATTGAATCAAGCATGGATTGCATTCTGTTTGCCCCTCTTTGGAGAGCTTTTAAATATGCATTCAGTGGTAATCAAGGCCAGGCAGGTTTCCTTTATTTCCTGGCTGGGGCCCACCGCTAACCAAATCGGATTGCTTTGTCATTCACCCTCTCCCGCCAGTGAGTGTGTGTGTTCGGCTGTGATGCGATGCAGTGTCGTGTCTGAATGAGTCTGCGGTGCGGATTCCCTGGTTCATTGACTTTTCGTTGGAATTCCAGATAAACTAAACTGACTAACGGACTGTGACTGATTGGTGCCTTAACCCCATTACAGCCGCCAGGGTAAAGAAACTAACAATAGATGGGTCCTCCCCCCTTTCTTTTCTTTCTCCTTTGACCTTGATATGTCTCTGTTTTCTCAGAGCTTATCTTTTTGAAGTGAGTGGCGCCAGAACGGTGGAATAACGGAGGAAGAAAGTAAACGAAAAAAATCCAACAGTAAATCCACACACACATGCACACTCCTACTCCTTTTGCATTCGCGCTCGTTTGCCAATGTACGTTTCTTATGTACATATGTATGTATGTATTTATTAAGACTCTCTCAAGCATTAGCAGGCACGTAGAACGCGTCTAGGAAATGGGAATATATGTGCTGGCGAAGGAGAGGATTATAAGGATGGAGCGAAAAGGGAGACAAAGACTTGCAGATACCCTCTACGCACTCTCTACTTCATTAGCTTCCATAACAAAATTTTGCTTTTGCTGGGAACAAACTCGAACTTCCAACTGTGCATACAGCATTCCCGTACCCCAAGGGGTATTAGGATGCAAAGCCTTCGTCCCAGTGCTTCAGAATCCTCCTCACCTTACCCTCTTCCAGTGCTGGCGCGTGTCTTGTTCAAACGGAAGCCATTTACAAAATTGCTTTCAACAAGCAACAAAAAAAACAACAACAAAATTCCAATGAGCAAGAAGTGGACTTTGACATGGAGCGTCATTTTAGCGCTTCAGTTGATGACGTTAGTGGTTCGATTGTGGCTGCGTAACCTACGTCCCGCAACGGGTTTTTTCCTCACTCTCTCTGGCTTGTGTTTGTGTGTATTTGAAACTGTCAATTTCGCTCTGGTCGGGTGTCAACGTTAAGTACTTTGGATATGGCGTATATTACTGACACACGATAAGCATTTCGCTGGCGGTTCCAAGCATGTGATTAAATTTCGCTCGACACTCACTAACCACTTGAAAGTATGCTATGGCATTTAATGCATACATATATTAAATGGTGTAGAAATGGTTCCATTTAATTAGAGTGTCTACAAGGATTATTAGTATTCCTTTCCTCCAAGGATTGGCTTAACCTTTGCTCGATATTTTTCACACCTCTTCTAAGAGATTAACAATGCTGACGTCAATGGTCTGAGCCAGACAGGAGACTACGGGCAGGGCACAGACAGACAGAAGCACTCGTACTCGTATCGTCACCTGCCATATTGTTTATGCTGACTCAAATTGTTTATCGCATGCCACACACAAAAACACCCACTCCCCAGGCTCATGTAAAATGCATAAATTCCAGCGATACCATGACCTGAACTCACTCTCTCGCTCTCTATAATTGTTGGTGACCCTTTGCTCGGCTATTTATAGAGAGAGTAGCACAACACACAAGGGAATTCATGAGCCCGGGGCTGACTTTCATGGCTATGCATAATCAATTTATGTATCGTACATGGGTTAAATCTATAAATTAAGTCAGCCGTAAAAATAAAATGCCTACTATGCCATAAAAGCACAAACACACATGAGTACTGCATATAGACAAGGATATAGTAAGCTCCACTGATCAAGCGCGATTTAAATGCACAACATGTCCAAGGCATAGATGAAGGAATAGAGAAAGGAAGAAAGGAAAGAAAGAGGATGCAAAGTGCTGTGTCCCATTGTGTTTAGTCAGCGGGAAAGGAAGAACGATAGACTAGGCAGGGACGTATTATCTAGCTGCGAGGTTTACAGCCTGCCTTTCTCTTGGGTGCTCCTCTCATACGTGCTTCTGGCCTTCATTCATGAATGGCAAACAATAAGGCATAGCCCTCTGCGCTCTTTCGACTTCTCAGCCTAGTCTGGGTGTATGTGTTTTGTGTGTGTGTGTGGGGGCGTGAAAATGTCAGCAGTAAATAAAATTTGAGCATTCGCCGTTTGCTGGAGCTTCCATTCATTCATTGGCTTGGGATTTATTCCGCTTTTGCTGGAATTCCTTCGCTTCCCACTATTTACTGCTATTTTCTGCTAGTGCTAGTTGCAGACAATAAAATCCAAATATGCAGCGAGTTAGCATAAATCGATATACAATTGAAATTTTTCAGCGAAGCTAATCTTTGGAGTTCCTTCTTACTAAGAACTTTGCCAGTCAGTCTAGCTTTTTCCAGTTTGAATTCTCTGTATTCCCAACATCATTTATTTGTTTACTATTTTTTTGGTCAATAAATCACATTTTAGTCCCATTTTTCACAGTAATTCTAGCCTCTTGTTATCATTTGGAATTGTTTCGTTGAATTGTTTTTGCAAAAGTAAAAACCGATATGACTGAAAAATACGTGTCTCATTATTTAACGCTTGCAAATAATATAAATGTGCAACACTTTGAAGGGAATATAATGTATGTACAAACAAGTTATGGTCATATCTCTTACATTCATAACTTGTAAATTGTGTAAGCCACAGGTTATGCGAACTCTAAATACCCTCATAAGCACTACTTACAAAATAGTTGAATTTAATCTTAAAAATAACCTTCTAGCGATAAGAAAGCTTTGAATGAGGCTAAGGCTTCACATTGCATTGTTCTTATCTTTCAGCATTTGTTTATTTGCCTTAGACTGATGAGTCCTAACAGACATAGCAGGAAAACAGTTTCCTTGGAACTGTCAGCATGACCATGACTGTGTCCCTGGGTCGGACACAAGCCACAAAAACAAAAAAGAGTCAAGTTCAATGAAAAGCTGACATTGAAACGATGGAGACAGCATCCACGGGCCAAAGTCCATCCCTTTCGCTCTTCATCCATTTTGCATGTAGCTTTTCGAAATCTTGTCAATGTCAGAAAACGAAGAGTGCAATGGATAGGACAAGCACAAATACATTGACAGCAGCACCCACAACACACACACACTCAGACATTGAGTATCTAATTGGCACTAGCAAGGCATGGACATATTAAGTAGGAAGGTAAGGCCCCAAAATCTGTTTGCCAGAATTAACTCAAATTTATAAAAATCAAACTATGTTTACACAAAGAGCAGAACGGCCCAAACCTTCTGTTTGGTATACCTTGGGTCTAGATTGGCAGCGAGAGAAGGAGACATATCGAATAACAGCAAATTTCTGTTTGTCAGTGAGGGGGCGACAGTGGTGAGAGTGGAGGAGGTCAAACGCTTTTAATTGGCAAATTGTTGACAAATGCTGCATGCCGTTACATCAAGAGAAGGGTGCAACGCGGGCGCCAAACAAAGCGATGGAGAGTAGAGAAAATGAAAGGCAAAATAGCAGAAATTACAGAAAATATAACTCCCGTTACTTACCAAAAGCTTAATGCACTTCTCTCCTTCGTTCCAGCGTCTTATCAATGTTGCACTCTCACACATACACACACATGTGTACAGTCGTGAACAAACAAAAAACCGAAAATTTTATTCTTCTTTTGCGTATGTGCAAAAATCAATCAAATGCAATTCTGTTTTCCCTGCCCGTTGCCCGTTGCAGTAGTTTGCGTTTGTTTACTGCGTTCTATATTAATTACGAGAATATTATTGCGCCACGCCACTACCGGAGTGTACAGAGAAGTTTGCTGCAAGCGCCGCCCGCCGTCCGATTGTGTATTTGGTTGTTCCTGGTGTTCCTTTTGTGAGCCGCACTTTTTGTCTTCTTTTTGTTTTTGCAAGTTTCTTTTCTCGACATGCGCGGTTTTTTTTTGTGGAACGGCGGTGTAAGCAGTGTGACCGCGGACTTATCGATAAAATGTACTGCACGACCATCAAAAATATACCAAAGTATACCTTATCATGTTAAAAATATACCATATATATATACTGAGGAAATAAACATCAACATAATTTGAACAAATCTTTTTGTAAATTTGTATGCCCATTTTCCTTTGATTCATTTAAATATCTCAATCTTTGGCATAGAGTTTTCGACCCATGCGACAACTATTAGAAAATATTCTTTTTTTGTTCTACTGTTCTGTTGCGGTCAACAGTTTAATCAATTCACCAACAACTTTAACATTAATGCTGTTGCCGAGCAGCCGGTACATTTGTCGATTTGTCGTTTCAGGTGCATTGCCAAAGTCTTCGGGAAAACTCATCAGGCGTGCCACTTCCCGAGGCGTGAAGTAGCGCAGGTATAATTGTCGTAGGAGCTCCGAACGCTGCAGCCGCACATCCTCAGGACTGCTGGTAACCGGATTGTTATTGTCAATTTCTTTCACTAATTCAAATATACGATGGGACTGCTCCGCAGGGAGCGGTGTAAAGACCGAGCCCGTGCCCTCGGTGTAGTGCGTATATCCTTTGGTGAAGCACATGGATCTATTCTGTGTGGGATGTATTATGTCCATGACCATCACACGCTTGGCTAGAACATCGTCAGGCACACTAAAGTCACAGGGCACGTTGTCCTGAATGATGTCGGAGATTTTGACTGTTACAGGCTGATCGGCGGCTGCTTTTCTGTCGGGCATTTCCTCCCAGATCTTGCCTCCAGCAAAGGCAAAGTCTGCGGTCTTGCGAGCAATGCAGTAGTAGCGATGGCGAGTGTTTGGCACATTAAATTGTGTGGGCGTCAGTATAAACTCCCGCCAAAAGAATCCAGCCGTCTCCAACGCTTCAACGAAGTGATTTCTGGCCTGAGAGCATTCGAATCCCTTGACATTTTCCATCAGCACATACTGTAGGGTTTCGCATTGCGGAATGAGGGTGCACAAATGGGTGAGTGCATCCGAGCGCTTGTCCTCCGTGTCTCTTTGCAGGCCCTGGCGGGTGTGCGGCTGACAGGGCGGGGACATGAGCAGCATGTTGGCCCCCAACTTTCTGACCTCCTTCTCGCTGAGACTTTGAATATTCCTTGTCTTCACATCTGTGCCTGGGAAGTTGGACGAATACACCGCATTGGCCACTGTGTTGACATCCATGGCGGCCACAATTGTTCCCTCCAACCCAGCATCTGCACTGAGAGTGTCAATATGGTTTTGATGCTTGCGTCGTCTCTACTCACAGTTAAAGGCATAATGCATGCCCCCAATGCCGCTGAACAGTTCCAAAACACGGAATCCCATTATATTTAAATATTTTGATGTTGTTTATATTCGGCACGTTGTGGTCGGAGCCCTTTACAACACTGGTCTCAGCCGCAGTTTGTGAATGGTTTTTTTCAAGAAGAAGAACAACATCAACACGTGCCGCTTGCATTTTATTTTAGTTGAACATTTTAAAATGATTAAAATAAAGAGAAAAATGCCAGTGCCACCTCCAGTAGACGAGGACTCGGACAGTGATTCGAGCTTTGCTGAGGAGGAGACCCTGGACGCAGAACTAAACGAAGAGGTAGACAGCTCCGACGAAGAACCGAGCACCAGCAAGCGCAAACAAAAGCCAAAGGAGGAAGATGAAGATGCTGGCGACGACGAGGACGTTGCCATCAAAGATGAAGATGAGGATGACGACGATGACGACGAGGATGATGAGGAAGATGACGATGAAGATGATAAGAAAGCGCGGATTCCTGTCTTCAATCCACTCAGCTTGATGCGAAACAAGGAACAGCGCTTGGCTCTCTATCGCAAAATGAAGAAGGAGAAACACAAGAAGAAGATGCAGGAGAGACGCGCCCGTCGCAAGGCTGGTGTGCCGGCCAATCCGGGTCACACAATCGAAAGTCTACGTGAGAAGGATCAGACAGAGGTCGCGAACCTAAACGACTCGGACAACGAGGAGCTGCAAAAAGAGTTGGAAATCGATGACTTCAGCACGTACTTTGAGCGAGTCTACGAACCGAAAGTTCTCATCACGTTCGCCGACAATCCAGTGACCAAGACGCGCAAGTTTGGCCTGGAACTGTCTCGCATATTCCCCAATGCCCTGGTCAAGATCAGGAACAAGGCTTCAGTGAAGAAGATCTGCAAAAGCGCCGAACGAGAGGAATTCACAGATGTGGTCATCATCAATGAGGACAGAAGGAAGCCCAATGGCTTGTTGGTCATTCACTTGCCCAACGGCCCCACGGCGCACTTTAAGCTGTCGAACGTCAAGCTGACATCGGACATTAAGAGGAGTCACAAGGAGATAACCAAGCACAGGCCCGAGGTGATTCTGACCAACTTCACAACGCGCCTGGGCCTCACCGTCGGCCGCATGCTCGGCGCACTCTTCCACCACGATCCCGAGTTCAAGGGCCGACGGGCGGCAACGTTTCACAATCAACGCGATTACATATTCTTCCGGCACCATCGCTACGAGTTCTCCAAGGAGGGAAAGCGGGTTAAGCTACGCGAATTGGGGCCCAGATTCACGCTGAAGCTGCGCTCACTGCAGGAGGGAACATTCGACAGCAAGACTGGGGACTATGCCTGGATAATCAGCAACAAGCGGCACGCCATGGAGTCGCGTCGTCGTTTCTTCCTCTAAGTGTATTTCGATTCTTTGTATTTAGCGTAGAGAAAAAAAAAAAAAAAAACGAAAATTTCTCAGCTCAAGGGCGAGATAGCCACCAAATTGACAAATTGTTGTTGTTGTTGTCCAGAAGAAATACAGAAAATAATAAAAATACAAAGTTCTTAGCCTACAAATGTGCAACACTCAACAGTTAACCGAATTGGCACACTAAGGGGGAAAGTGTTCCAAAAAAGAAAGACCACCTCACGGCACCACCTACATGGTGGGACACTGGGGATTGGCGCCACCGCCCATGGCAGCTGTGGGATCGGTAAACGGCAGATCACCGCCCGTCTCGGCCAGTATCTCAGCTGGTGGCTGTCCATAGTCTTGAAGTTTACGCATATCGTCCAGCACCACGCGGAACTTTTCGCGCTTGACAGCGGCCGAATCCTCGGGCTTTTCCGATTGCAAATGGCCCTCGATGACCTTGTAGAGTTCCATTTGCTTTTGGTATCTATGGAATGGAAAGCGAATTAGATTTATTTGCTACAATTAAATGAATGCCTAGCAAACCTCTCCTTGTCCTCAGCCGACAGCTTGTCATCGTTCTCTTCGAGGTACTTGGGATACTTCTCGAGCAGCTCCTTAATGCTGGGCAGCAGAATCTCAGCCGAAAGCAGGCTCTGCATCATGCCTTCCATGAAGGGCAGGAACATGTTGCCATCAGGTGCGCCACTCTATAGACGCCAATTATAATTGATTACAAGTGATTCAGTAGCGATCCAACGGCAGCTTACACCATCCAGGTTCAGGGAACCAAACATGCTGGCAATATCATTCTCTGATGCAGGTGCTGCCAGATTATCCCCGCCCTCCTGCAGACCCTTCAGGGCTTGCGAAATGCTGTCTGAATACTTGGAGACATCTTCATCGGTGGCCGAGTTCTCGCCACTCAGTGTCAATGCGGCCGCCTCGGCCATTTTCTTGAAGCCAGACATGATCTGGTCTGGGTCCTGTGGCATCGGTGGTATATCCCCACTGGGCGTATCCGGACCACCGAACAAGGTGTTCATGCGGTCGGCCAACACCTTGGCCTGCTCGCTGCAATTCAAGAATACAAAGTTCAATATCGGCTGACATCGCGCACACAAATTGTTGTTGACTCCCGTGACTCACATGAAAAATGCATCAGGGTCTTCGGAACCCTCGGCAACCTCGGTGCCTGCCGCATCGGTAGCCTTGGGCTTCTCCTTCTTGTTGCCACTTTTGTCGAAATCCTGCAGAGCACCTGCCGATAGAAAATATCAAGATTTCATTTTGGTATTGAGCGTTATATAATTTGGTCAAAACTCATTGCGGCTGCAAAGGGGCCAGCCACTCACTGTCCAGCAGGTCGTTTAATTCATCTCCGTTTTGCTTTTCCTCAGACATTGTGTAATTTTTTCTTTTATTTCTAATTAATTCTGAGGGGGAGTGGGAGGTATAAAATAATTGACTGACGAAGTGTGACCGATTTGTTGAGACTATATACCACCTGACCCTCAGAAAAATACCAAAATATACCATTGCATCTTCAAAATATGGCGTAAAAATACCGTAGTCTTAAATCAGATTCCTCGATTTTGATGCTCTATCTAATATTACCAGCTAGTTAGAACTCTCAACACTACAACTCTAATTTTATCAAAGTCATCAATCAATTTTCCAGAATATTGAGAATAGAGAATTGATTGAGATTGAGAGAATAATGTGTATATCCTTTTCATATGTTTTCTATACATACCGATCTATAAACTTTGTCGATCTATAATCTAGTAATTATTATCGAGCAGATTATCCCAAAGTTTGATAATGTCTTAACCTTTCGCTAGAACATCCCCTAGAGCTTTTCCATTTGCAACGCTAAATCTTTGCACTTTAAGAGTGTCTGTGTCTGTACGTAGTTTGTGCAAAACTCGGCAAGAAGATGAAACAATCCAAGGACATTAGTCGAAGATTATCTAAAATAATCACCCAAAATATTTACGGTTGTTCTGCGAAACACAAACATGCCTGGGCCCTGCGTGCACCTTGCTGTGCGCCCATGAAGATCGGCGACCAAAACTGCGACCAGAAACCCAAACCGCACATCCTCGTACAGCGTACAGCGTACCCGGTGAGGGGCAATCACCAAGTCAACAAATCCATCAAGGTTACGGCAAGGTGCGACCAATTCTAAAACCAGAACGCTACACCCACAGCCAGGACACATGGTAGGGAGTCCGAGTACGAGTCCTCTTCTGCGCGAAGGTCATCTGTCCTGGCTAGTTTTTCGATTCAGCTCACATGGTCAATTGGTTTGGTTGGCTGTTTTTCTACTTTAACCGCACAGTTTACCCAAAAGAGCAAAACGAATTCACAATTCGGTACGCCCACGCAGCGAAGTATTGTGGTCAAATTTTGGTACTTCTCTCAGCCATTTGGGGCGGAGTTTTCGACTGGGCTGGAGGGGTAGGGGTTCCGTGAATGTGCACAGCATGGGCGGAGCTTCACCTGAAATAATGCATAATTTATTATGTTTTATTTGTGGCTTCAAACAGGGGAGAAAAAAGCATGAAACTGCAAAGGGGAATTTACATTTTTATGCAACAAAAAATGAACACTCATTTTTCTAACCATTTTCAAACGGAAATTCAGACCAACTGCAAATTCCGCTATTCCCGGAACTTAAACGGTTCAAAAAGTCAAGACAACCGTCAAAAAGTCAAAAACAAAAAACCCTTTCGATGTAGAACAAAACAGAATTGGGCCGCAGCCGCCCGATGGGTTTTCGCTCTGTTTTGACATCATTTTTAGTGCACCAAGAATAAAAGATTTATTTGTATATAATCGCTTGCTTGGCTTGGAGTTCTGGCAGAGTTTACCTGAGTCTCAGCACACGCTATGCTTCGCGGGAAGGAAGCGTATTGAAACGGAACCCAACACCAGAACCGTCATAAAGTGCACATTCCACTTCCTCCTTTTTTGGTAACTTTCTGTACAACCTTTCCATTTATTGGGATTGCGATTTCACGCTCACTGATCGCAGCATTTCTATTTTAATTTCCTTTTTTCGACTTTTCCCCGCATCGCCTCGTATCGCATCCTTCCAGCGAAGGAAGGTGGCAGAGGCGCAATTTTATGAGCCATTATGGTCTTTCGCGATTGTTCAGTAATGGCAATGATTGCGGTTTTATATGCACCACCATTCAGGTGGCGTGTGTCTGGGTCTCGCACCCAGAAGCAGGATCATCGCTATCTCTTGATATTTCTGTGCCATACAAATTGCGATTACAGCGCTCTGGCAATGTTTCCTGGAAAACGCCCAGTTTTCCTTTGAAATGAAAGTCTACTCCAACCCCCCAAAACAAGAACTTCTTCAATGAGGCAGACCCCGAGAGCTCTTCATGCTCTGACACCAATCGCTCTCCATCAAAGCGCTGAATGCTCGCTCCCCCCCCCCAACATGCAAATGAGCCGCCAGATTGGGTCGCCTGCTCCAGATGATGTGGGCTGCTGGCATGGCCCCTGGTTTTCTCTTCTGTTCTGTTTGATTAAGCGGAAATTAAGTGTGCGTTTCGGTTGCAGCCCCATGCGATTCGCCATGGCTGCCTTTTTTATTCCGGCCTGCACATATTTTTGTATGCGAGTTTCTTGCTTGATCAATTTGGCCTGTTCAATTTTTGGACAGTTGTTTGGTTTCTACAAAGTTGAATTTGTTGGGTCTGTGGGCGAGGGAGTAGACCATATTTATTATCGTTATGCTTGGGGTTTGCATTTCCCTTGAATTTACTTTGAGAGCAGCGGAGATCCTTCCGATTTGTGCAGCGTACAAATGGTTCGGGTTGTTGCAAGCGCAAATTAATCAATTTTAAAAGTGTCTAGGGAATTTGTTCAGGTGTTAGATTTACGCTAGCTCTTATCTACCTCATTTTAATGTCACATTTATGGCAGAAAATAAACTTTATTTATAATATTGTAGACTGCAACACATTCTATACCTCCATCAGGCACTCATCTTTGGCACACAAATATTCCACAAATTGTTTCAATTATATTCGAAACTTCAACAAATCCATAAGCAATCTTCGAGCTCTAGCGGAGATATGAAAAACACACAGAAATATAACAAATTCAACAATCTTATCCCCAATCTCTTATTTTCTTAGCAGCTTTTTCCTTCACCTCAACACACCAATCATTTATTGTTCAAATAATTTTCCATTTCCACTGCAAGGCTGCAGGGCCTTTGATTAATGAAACAATTGAATAATATTATTTAAATTCGCATACATCCGATGCGAAGCGTGGCTAATGGACAAACGCCGCCGCAGATCCAACCAAACTTAATAATCGAAGACCTCAGAGATGTGAGAAAAGTGCCACCTACTTTTCTGTGTGCTGTGTGTGTGCTCTGTGGAAGTGATCTTCGGTGGCTAGCTAATGATGTATCCAAGCACGATCGATGATGCTACAAAACAGAGCAATTACAAATCCGAGAGAGAGAGGGAGAGGGAGAGCGACCGATCGTGAGTTCGGGACAACAGGTTGCTGCCTGATCGATGGCTGGTGGCAGCCCCTTGACGGCCGACAGGAAAACAAATTAATCTTGTTGACGTCTTGGCTTGATCGCCGCGCCTCATCACTTTCTTCAGAGCCCAGAGCACAGAGAGCACAAAGCCCAACAGTTCAGTGCCTCCAGATGTTTGATCTCGACCTGATGCTGATCTTCTGTTGGACAACGATGTGTTGCGCCTACCTTTTGCGCCTTCTGTTTAATGAACAATTTGTGGGCCTCCGATGCTGTCTCAGATGTGTGCCGACAACGTTTAGCACTCGATTGGATTGGATTGGATTGGATGGGATTTGTGTGTGCCCCCAGGCTAATGAGTTTCTCAAGAGTGGAAAAGTGGGTGTATGTGGCAGTGGCTCCCCCTTTAAGCCTTCGGGAATCACCCTCAACCTCACCCTCAACAGTCTGCAAATATTTCCCCTGGCCAGACAATGCGTCGTCTGAGCCATGACGAATCTGCGGCCAACCGAGCATTGGTTTGTGGGCAGTCCTACGAGGAGTTCCTTTCAATCGAAAGATGCCAAAAGCGACATATGAAATATGCTAATTTGTAGACAATGCCATTCCCGGGAATGCCCAAAGACCAGCTACAAAACTCGTGACCCACAAACAACTAATGCCTGCAATTAGCTCGGCTAAACTGTCATGGAGATGGACGTGGACGTGGACGTGGACATGGAAGAGTCCATGCCGGACTGCCACCAAGTGCAAAGGGTTAATCGCATTCGCCTTGCTGCTGATCGCCGCCTGGAGATCGGGGAAAGGCCGGCCAATGCCTCTCTATCGATGGGCGTTGGCTGCGTTAAGCCGCAGCATTTTTTCTTTTTGTTGGGCTGGCTGTCTGCTTGGGACTACCTGGTGTGGCGATGCCCCGGTTTAACTCGTCCCATCCATGGCAAATCGTTTACAAATGTTGATCAATAAAACGTTGGACTGTAATGCGATTATCCGCCATAATCATGCCCAGCTACAGATCAACACTTGAGAACTTTTCCAAAATATTTGAAAAAGTCAACTGGCGATCTGCTCTCTCCTCCACGACACCTAAGCTGCTGCGACTTTCCCTCTAATCTCGCACTTTGCTGCTATTTGTTTGCATGCTTTAGCAAGGATTTCATTTTACAATCGCTCCCTGGAACCAAAAGGATGTACAATCTGCTGCTGCTGCTGCGGCTGCTGCTTGCTGGGCTGGGCAAGGGATGTGTTCAAGGAGCAGCCTCTTTGCATATTTACTAAAACTTAGCATGGATTACCCGAAAAGTCAATCGCCGCCTGCCGCAGTTTGGGCTGCTCTAAGCCAACGGAAATATTTGAGGATCAGCAGACAGCTTGAGGATCAGCGTGGAGGCTTAATATTTAAGTCAAGGTTGGCACACAAATATGAGCAGATTTTCTATGCTTTCTTTTTGCAATAGTTGTGTGTGTGATGGCCAAAGTTTAGGCTTGATTATATTCAGATTTTACGACAGGAATAGTACAGAGTAAATATAATCTGCCATCAAAATAATTGATAACTCCAGTGGATTAAAGAGGACTTGGGGATCAGCCTGAGAAAGAACTTTCACAGATCTCAAATGAAAGTAACCAAAGGCCATGGCATGGTGCATTAAGTTGTTCTAGTAAAATGTTCATAATTTCTAGAAATCATCAGCTCTAAATGGTTCATTATCTAAGCATCCCAGACACCCGTTGAGTTGGCTTTGCCTTCTGTGGGCCGCATGGAAATTCGTTGCACAGCAACAGGCAGGAAGGAGGCAGCAAAACAACGGCAAGAGAGCCCCTGATAAAGACATTAGAAGCAGGGAAACGTGGAAACGTGGAAACAATCAAGGCCGTTCCAATGTGTGACAACAGACCACATTACGTTGGCCCAAAGCGAATCGATTGGCCAAACAGAAACAGAAACAGCAACGGAAATTGAGAGACTAAAAAGAGGAAAATAAAGTTGGGTAAATTGAATAAGGAGTGAGGATGACTTGGGCGGTACTTAGTGGCAAAAAGTTTTGGGGAAAAGTTAGTATACCACAAAAGGGAAGTCAAAAGGGAACAGATATCTGAATGAGTAATCTACCCATTAAAGCAGATCTAAAAGGTGCGAAAGTTGGACAAGAAAAGGAATTTGTTTTTGCCAACTTTAGTTGCAGGCGAAGCCAAACAATTATTAACAGTTCTTGCAGGTGGAAATATTAAAGTTGATAACGAATAGGGAGGAGTTAGAGACCCCCCTCGACAATGGGATCCCCTCTCAAAGAACATGGCTCAAGGATACTCTGGCAGGTAGGGCTATGGGCTGCCAGAGTACTCGCAGCATTGTGACAACGAGGATCACGAGGATGATTTTCATTCATAGCACCCTGGGTGGCATCATAAAAAGTCTCTTAGCATCTTTATTCATCCCACTTTGGATGTGTCTTCATTTTTCCCGCTTGTCGTCCGCTTCGTGGAAATGCGATCGCCGAGTTTATGGCAGTCGCTGCCTCCTACTGTTTTCTGCATGCTCGTACCTCGCTCTCTGGGCCTGGTCCCTGGCTCTGCCCAGGCCCGATCCTTACGCTGATGCTGGACATTTTGCGCGTTGATAGCGCAAAATTAGCGTTATATGAGCGGCCTTTTCAGTGCTCATTGTCTGGCCAAATCGAGAAATCAACGAGGATCGTTGCCATCCGATCGATTGACAGTGGCGGCGCCGCGCAGACCCTTTTGATGGCTCGCTTGATATTCGTAGAGGCTTCCCCCAAAAGTCCGTACTTGGCGATGCTGTTTGGTCAAGGTCAGTCCGTGCCGAAGGTCATTCTGGGTCTCCTGCCAGGCGTAAATGTGTTGCACATTCGATCTGCGTACTGGGTTCCTCCTCCCGTTGGGTTTGCTTAACCAAAAACCCAACGGGCAGCCGCACCGAGCAGTAGAAACCCAACCTTTGTTAGCTTGCGGCCTCCGTTGTCCTTGATCCTGGCTGGCTCTCCTGATGCAATGCGCAGGATTCGTCACGTCTCTGTGGGCCAATTTCCTCGCTGGCGTTTCAGCTGGAGCCCATCATTAATTCTCTCCAACTCTTGGCGCTCCTCCATTGTTCCATGGTTTCCGAGGGGTTTCTGTGTTCGCTTTCTTTTCCAGCGGTTCTTACTTAACCTTTTCGGAGGGCTCTCTGTTGCGTGAAATTCCATAATTAATCAAACCCACACGAAGCACCCACAGAAGAATAGCCAACAGAATCGATGCCAGCAGCCACGAGGGCGCAAAGCGTGACAAGGATATGGTTATAGTTGGGATATGTCCAAGGGTTTGAGCTTATGTCATGGGAATAGTCTTCGCTTGCAGAAGGAACCTGTCTGAGGATCATTTGGAGGAGTTTGATGTTCTTTCTTTTATCAACTGGAAAGCTTTGGAAGTTTTAAAGAGCTTTTATTTCTGGAGCAGAGACCTGGATATTATTTCCACCTCCTCATGGTCATGTTTTCTTATCGAATATCTGAGCATTATTTTATCAGATCGAAACTATAATCCTCTTCCTGAATATTTTCTAAAAATTGACATATTAAATCTCACCTTATTTATCCATAATTAACCTTGAAAGTGTCCCTGTAATACCATCCTCAAAGTCTCTTTGCAGCTTCCTTGACTTGGTTCGCTTTCGGTCCACCTCCGATTGAAGTTCTTGAAGTCACGGCGAAACTGGTCAGGTGAGGGCAATCGTTGGCATATAAATTGAGGGCGCTAATGAGGTATCAATAAAGGATATATTACGCTTGTAAACTGTTTAATGCATACTCGATTGCATTATGCGTTCCATTGAATATCTAATTTGATTTCCGGAAGTAAAAGTGGAACCCCCCTCATGAAGGACTGGCAGGAACCCCGAACGGAAAGGACCAGCTGGAACATGCCAACGTGGAACATTACATTCCCCCTCCAAATGTGCCTCTACTCATGCCCGTCTTTACCGTTGCTTTCGCTGAGACGCCCCCAAACAGAGAGCGAGATGGATGGCTGGCCTGCTGGCTGTGAATGAGATCTGAGCGCGAGTGCGAGGGAGAAGCGAGAGCTAGGCGTGCGGCGATTGGTCCGCGTATTGCTTTACCTGCCAGATGGCTGACATCTTGGCTGTCGTTGCCCGCTGCCGTCGCCGTCGCCCGTCGCCCGTCGCTCGACGCCTTCTTCACAGAAAGGCAACGATCTTGGCCGCCGTTCGTCTGGTGAAGTCAGTTAGGCCCAGACTGCGCAACGAGTCACACCACATTCTCTCCTCGTCTTCGTTTCGTCTTTTCGTCTTTTCGTGTTTTCGTGTTTTCATTTCGCCCATCGAAGTACTAAAACAAATCGGCTAATTAACACTTAAAGCTCTCTGATCGCTTGTCAATCGAATCCACAAAGTGCCAACCACAATCGGTGCAGTGTACGCCGGTTTGCTGCGGGCACGAACAATTTGTGGGCTTGGTTGGAGCCACGTGAAACTATGACTGTAACCGCCTTTGCCGCCGCAATGCACAGACCCTTCTTCAATGGATATTCCACTATGCAAGGTAAGTGTCTGCAGAACAGCACGAAGATGTGGGGGAGAGCGTAGAGAGAGTGAAGCTTCAACGAAGATCGAACTGTTTTTGCGAAGCTTTGGAGAGAGTTCTTTGAGGCAGCGAAAAGCTTCTTCATTAGAGCTTTGGCGATAGAGAGCATAAACAGTTACTTACTTCTTCGAAGATTGAGAGTCTTAAGAGTCCCTCAATGGCCTCGGACTTCCCTTCAACTTCCAACTTGAGTTGTTCACTGCCAAGGACTCTCTATAATGGCCATTAGCTGCTCTCGACGGGAGAGGAGTCGCGCGTCGTTTGCAACGGAATGACCTTCGCTACGACTCCGACGCTGCCTCTTCCCCTTCCCGGGAAGTCAATTGTGCGCGAGAGCTGTCGTAAATCAAGTGGCACTGGGACTCCGGCTCCTGACACGCGCTTCTGCCTGGCTCCTACCTGGCAAATTGGAAACTATTTGAGTCCATGGAAAATTGTCTAACTTTCCCTTCCCTTTCCTCTCTCTGTGCCTCTTTTGCAGACATGAACAGCGGCCAAGGACGCGTCAATCAATTGGGCGGAGTATTCATCAACGGACGTCCACTGCCAAATAATATACGCCTGAAGATCGTCGAGATGGCTGCCGATGGCATCCGTCCGTGCGTGATCTCACGCCAGCTGCGCGTCTCCCATGGCTGCGTGTCCAAGATACTGAATCGCTACCAGGAGACGGGCTCCATTCGTCCGGGTGTGATCGGTGGCTCCAAGCCGAGAATTGCCACGCCCGAGATCGAGAATCGCATTGAGGACTACAAACGCTCCAATCCGGGCATGTTCTCCTGGGAGATACGCGAAAAGCTCATCCGTGAGGGCATCTGTGACCGCAGCACGGCCCCGTCCGTGTCTGCCATATCGCGCCTGGTGCGCGGCCGTGATGCGCCGCTCGACAGCGAACTGTCGCCGTCCTCCGCTGACCACCACAAGGCACCGTCCAGCTCGTGCGGCTCCGACCTGTCCTCTGGGCACCACAACAACAACAACAACAACAACAACAACAACAAGCACTCCGACGATGATCTCTCGGACTGCGAGAGCGAACCGGGAATCGCTCTCAAGCGCAAGCAACGTCGCTGCCGCACCACCTTCTCCGCCGCCCAACTGGACGAGCTGGAGCGCGCCTTTGAGCGCACCCAATACCCGGACATCTACACCCGCGAGGAGCTGGCACAGCGCACAAATCTCACCGAGGCACGCATCCAGGTGTGGTTCAGCAATCGCCGGGCACGACTCCGCAAGCAGCACAACTCGGTGTCGGGTGGGCCTGGGTCCGCTGTGGGCTCCGCCATGCCCTCCGTTTCGATGGCATCCAGCGTGGTGTCCAGCGTGCCCAGCATGGCGCCCCTGGCCATGATGCCCAGCATGGAGGCTGCAGCCGCCTACCAGCAGCAGTACGACTTCTACAGCAGCGCCGCACCGACGGCCACGGCGGTGGGCAGCAATCTGTCGCCCGGCTCCAGCCTGACACTCTCCAGCACGCCGCCGCATCACCATCAGTTCCACTACAATCCGAGTGCCGTCAGCACGGCCAGCTACATCATGCCCTCCAGCGCCACCTCCGGCTCCGGCTCCGGCTCCGGTTCCGGCTCGGGTTCCGGCACTGGCAACATCATCGTCTCTGGCGTGACGCCCAGCTATGAGACACAATTGGGTCTGGGAGTTTACAGCACTGAATCTGAGGCGCATCAGACAATGCCACGTAACGAGAGTCCCAATGAGTCCGTCTCCTCCGGCTTTGGCCAGCTGCCGCCCACACCCAACAGCCTCTCGGCCGTGGTGGGTGGAGCCGGTGGTCCCTCAGGCGAGTCCTCACAGTCGCTGGCCAATGCCAGCGGCGGCAGTGAGGAGCTGTCCGCAGCGCTCAAAGTGGAGGCTGCCGATCTGGTGGCCGCTGCCGCGGCAGCTGCGGTTCAACCTCAGCTCTACAGCAGCTGGAGCTCGATGCAGAGTCTGCGCCCGAACGCTCCCCTCTCGCCGGAGGACTCCCTGAATTCGACCAGCTCCACCAGCCAGGCCCTGGAGGTGTCGGCTGCCGCACATCAGATGTTCCATCCGTATCAGCATACGCCGCAGTATGCGCCATATCCCACGGCCACGGGACACTCGCACGGGCATGCCCATCATGCCCACGGCCATCCCCATGCGCACGGCCATGGACACGCTCCACATCCGCATCCGCATCCGCATGCGCATCATCCGCAGTACGCTGGCGCGGGACATCCACACTATCCGCCCAGCTCCTCGACACATTTCATGCCGCAAAACTTCAATGCCGCCGCCTTTTCCTCACCCTCGAAGGTCAACTACCCGACGATGCCACCACAGCCGTTCTACCATCACTCGTGGTACTAGGGGTGGACCAGGGAGTTTTGTATCGGTTGCAGGTGTCAGCTGATCCGTCGATTGATGTCGCCAAAGATGTACAGGGAACGTGGGGGAAGTAGAGACATTTTCCACATGGAAAACATCTTCAGAACTTCCCCGAGTAGCAGCACAATCTTAACCATAGCCAACCAAGTCTTGATCATAGTTTATTCTACGAATAAGTTTCTACGATTACGAGCCCATATTTGTTGTATGCTAAGATCTCTAAGCTAAGTAGCAGGTGCCTTACAAATAAATACATTTATTCTAATTTATGCCAAAAAGATTTTACACTCGAAACTGTTGGAGGTTACCCATTCAGTAGTAGCCTTGACACGCTTCTGTTCGCTGTGGGATATCGCAAATGGAAATCCTGCTGGCCCATTGCTGTGCCACATTAGAGCCTTTAAGTAGCGCTGTAGATTCCACGGACCTGGCTGGAGATTTCAACAAACTCCACGGGGCACAGCGACATCTCTCGGAACTGACATTTTCGGGCTGTCAAGCTGTGCCAATGCCAAATGTTGAAACTCCAAAACGGGCCATGGAAACTATTGCAGTTTTTCGTTGGGCTTATCAGAATTGAGGCAAACTCCAACCAAGGTGTTAATTGCTCTTTCGATTCCTCGTAATTGCCCTATTTCAGACTTGCCTCAAATTCACACCTCCTCCGGGAACTCACTCTCTCCCTCTGTCCATCCTACGTGTCTGCGTGATGGCACTTAATGAAGTCATTACCCCAAAAAAGAGTAAAAAAAAAGATCCCAAATGATCCTTGAACGATAAAGCAGCAGCAGCTCAGACATCCTTAGGTCGTGGCTCTATTATTTTAATCTAGAAAAATCGGATAATCGTTGTTTGTTTTCCCCTAACCAGACAGCCAACAGCCGACAGCCGACAGCCAGCCAAGCAAAAGTAAATATTGACTTTGCAATCGACTTAAGCGTGCTGCTCAGGGGTTTTTCCAGGTAACCAAAAGTGCCACAGATTAGCAAAGAAAATTGCACAAAATCCATTTAGATCCATTTGATTTCCATCTGGGTTCTAGGCTGAATATTTACGCAGTTAGATCTAATCTTAAATAGGAACATTTTTAGAGAGAAAACAAAAGAAAACGTTTGAGCAGCGACAAAACCAAAAGTCAGAAGTGAAGCGAGCTACCATTTGTTTCCTTTTCTTGCCGAAGTTCTATTTGGAGCATCTTCTCTTTGTGTGAGAATCGTCGTAACCAATTTAATAGCACTACCATATTTTCAGGTTAATAAACCAATTACATTTTTAATTCGTTACCCACTCGGACTCGGACTCGGGCTCGGCGGAAAACTCTGCGCCATGAGAGCGCTACTGTAGAAAGCTTCGAGCTGCGATTGAGAATGAATTAAATCTGAAATAAAACGCATTAATTTTCGGTAGCGATACAAAAATTACGAAGCAAGAGAAAAGCTCCGCTGGGGCTGCTGGGGAGCTAATGGAACTCCACTCTGCGCCGTCCAGAGATCAGGGACAGGGCAGGTTGTAGCCCACTCGCTCCCACTCCGACTGCTGCCTTCTCTCTGGGTGATGATTAATGAGCCGACAATGTGTTGAACATCAAAGGCAGGGAAAACAGTCATTTACAACGAAGCTCGAGATGAAATTTAATTTAATTTTTGTTATATTAATTGTTGTTGGACTGAACGTCGGGTCCATCTACCTGTGGCTGCCACATGATGGACCAACAAATGGAATCCTGGCCAGCGTTCGTCAGGCGGTGCCTGGCACATAAGCAGCGCAAAACCTCAAAATATTTACTCGACAGCAAGGCGGACTAACCCCGAGTTGGATTTGCGAATCAAAAATCCAATTCCTGGGAGGGCGAGGTTCAAGGCGAGGTTCTAAGGTTGCGAAAGGATTTGTAGCGCTCTCACTCGCTCTCTCTCTCTCTCTCTGCTGCTCTTTGAGGGATTAGGATATTTCGGAAATAATCCTTTGCTGCCAGGAAGAATGCAGTAAACGGCGCACAGCCCTTAGCCCATAGCCCATAGCCCACTGTGGACCAGGTCAACTCGTTCTTCGGCCACTTTTATGACAGACATCATAAACTTTTATTTGCTGTCATTCTTCGTTCTCGCGCGCAGCACTCAGCCGGGACACAAACCCCT